CGCCAAGGGAGGAAGACAGGTGAATGGGGAGACGCAGAAAAGGGCGCAGGGGCGGGTGGACAGACAGATGCACTGGGTCCCCTGCCAGCAAGCGGGCAGCTCAGTGACGGGCCCGCCACCCTCCCGTGCACTTACCAAGGACCGGGCACCTATGACAAACTGCATCCACCTTCGTTCACGGCATCCCTCCCCTGCTCCCGGCCAGCCCCACACGACCTCAAAGATCCCAGCGCTGGCTCAGCCACCCTTGGCCATCCCCGAGGGGCTTCTCTGGGAACCCCACCTCCTCTAGGACGCCACACCCGGGGCCCAGGGAGTCCCCCACCTCTGGCTTTAGTTTCTGCTCGGTGATCTCTCTCCGTTGGACTCGGCTTGTTCGAGGACATGGTGTCCACAGTACCCTCGGCCTCTCTTCTTCTTACTGTCTGGGAGGCATCTGGTCTCCTGGGACTGAAGAGACATACGTTCATATAAACCCAGTGACAGTCCGTTGGAGGGCTGGGAGTGTCCAGCTGTGTGGGGAGGCACAGGGGTCCCACCTGGTCACGGGGGTGATTGGACAAGGCTACTCTAAACGGGGGGCGGGGGGGGTACGAGGTGACCAAAGAAGAGAGGGAGAAGGAATCTGAGAAGAGAGAGTAATGTGATGAAGGCCATCAGGGCTGGAGTATGAGGAAAAGTGGGGGCCATAGGAGGAAATGAAGTGCGATGGGTGGTGAGGGCAGAATTGGCATGGGGTCTTGCCGGCTGTGTTACTAAAAAATTGCTTTCTGGTGCCTTCTGTGCCCATCCCCCACCCAGTATGCAGACTGGTTCATCCCTGGCAGGAGCTGAAACATCTCAGCTCCCAACCCCTCCCTTCCAGCCACAGCACATTTTTACCCTTCTCTGTCGTCGGGAAGGCAGTGCCCACTTCTGTCTCCAGCTTCTTTTTATCAGCTTTGGTCACCCCCTCCTCTGCTGTAGCCACAGGGGGGACAGCCGTCTCTAGACTGGATATCTAGAATGTTCCCGCCTGTGGCCAGCCTTTGTGACATCACTGTCGATTCCGTAGCCTGGAGCCTCGATGGCGACATGGCCTGTTGCTGCTTTGCAGAGGCCCGTCTTAGGGGACCGGGGTCTACCCAAGAAGGCCCTTCGCTATCTGTACCCCACCCCCCCTCCCCCCCAGCCAGTGGTTCCCAAGGTGACAGCCCCCAGGGAGGAGGCAGCAGCAAAGTCTTGGGTTTCAGTCTGGCGGCTGGAGGGACTTTATAGTCTCTGCCCGGCTTTGTTACAGCTTTGAGTGAACGTGTTCACGAGGGAGCCTGACAGGGAGTAGTGAGGCAGAGGAGGCAGCCTGGAAGGCACTGGCGGCACGGAGGCTAAGGAAGCCGACTGTTTCAAAGAGCTAGGCAAGGTCGGCAGAAGGTCCACAAGGACTTTGATTCGCTGTGCCTGGTTGTTCATGAATTCATGTGTCCATCCAGCACCTTCTGGAGATGGACTAGTCTCCCAGATGTGTAGGCAGCTGCATTTGCACAGATTGTTGGACCCTGTTGAGGCCGATTCGCACACAGATCATTTAGAGGCCTCTTTGGCTCCTCAAAAATTTAAGCATCACATTATCGTGTGACCCCACAATCCCATTTCCGGGGACATACCCAAGAGAATTGGAAGCAGGGACTCGACGAGGGTTTGCACACTCCCGTTCAAAGCAGCATGATTCACGGTAGTTCAGAGAAACCCACCGTCCACTGGTGGATGAAGGATAGATGGTGGTCCATCCGCGCAATGGAGTATTACTCAGCCTTAGAAAAGGGAGGACGTTTCTGGCACCTGCTACAACGCGGATGAACCTTGAAGACATTATGCTCAGTGAGATAAGCGAGACACAAAAGGAC